ATGTCCTCAATCAGTGCCTGAGTAGGTCACGCTGGGCAGGGGTTGCATATGGAATGATTCACCCAAAGTGCACCCTTTTCTGTGACCTTGGGGCAGCCCTAGGAGGCCCGGGCTTTGCAGACCTCAGCTTTATAGCCCTGGAACCGGAGGACCATAGTGGGGAGGTGCAGTTATCTGAAGAGAAGTATTTCCTTGACTATCCCAGTGTGACCTCACTTCTAATCAGAGGCTGCTCCTGTTTCTGCAGGATTAGTCAGCATCTCTTAACTAGCAGCCCCGGCGAGGGGAGAGTTCCTCAGCTGTGCTGCTGGCTGGGCTCCACCCTCTCGTTCTCAGCTGCCGCTACACTTTTTCCTCCCCTCTTATTGTTGTCATGGTGCTGGGTGGACTTTGGAGGGGGCCAGTAAGCCTAGGATTGCAACACAGCACGAGGGTCAGCACCTGACAGGGTCTGGGTGTGGCCACAGGAAGCAGCATTACAATGATCCCAGTGAAAAAATAAGAAAGGTGTACCTCCACAAGTGAAAGCAAATGACTCTGGCTACCCAGAGGGTTCTGAGGCACGACACCATCATGGTGGGTGATGCTGTGAAATACCAGGGGGAGAGGGTGGCATGTGGACTGTGTGTTTAAGGACTGTACTTACAGGAGAGAGGGACGAGGCTCACTAGCTCAGACTTGACTGGGGAGAAGCAGGGCGCTATAGTGAGACCGACAGCTTGTCCTCCGTGAGTGATGGAGTCTTCATCCATCCCAGCTGCAGTCTCTTTCCATGGACAAAGCTGCAGAGGTGTTTCTAGCCAACCTGGGGCCCCAGAGCCAAGGCTGGACTCTGAGACCTGCTGTTCTAAGGGGAAGGTTACTCTTAGATGGGAAGTCCCACCTTGGGGCTGAAGAGACAGAGACATGAAGCCCCTGAGATTGTGAGCAAGGCTTGTGCATTTTCTGGAGAACAAGAGCACAGCTTTCTTTTTTTCCCCAAAATGTTTATTGTTGTTTCTATAGAAATACATATAGTACAACATTTGTCAGGAGCTCTGGTAGCGCAATGCCTAAAGCACTTGACTGCTAACCAGAAGGCTGGCGGTTCAAACCCACCAGCCACTCCTTGGAAGGAAGGTTGGGCAATCTACTTCCGTAGTGATACCACCTGGGAAATCCAAGGAGGAGTCGCTATGAGTCGGATCCAACTCCACGGCACATAACAACAACAACATTTGTCAAAGTATTTTTCAGGTGTACAATTTAGATACATCAATTACATTAAACATATTAGCACAGCTTTCTTTACTAGGCTTTCCCAGTAAAGGCTTAGTGATCCTCACAAAAGTTAAGAAGCCTTGCATTATGACTTCAGGGAACTTGGGCAAGACAGACAGCCATACGTGCTGTGGGGCAGTCTGACACCTCGAGGTGCCCAGAAACAGCATTGACATTCCCAGTGAGGTGACTCTGAATGTGCACCTGCCCCTCTGGGGAACCCCTGCCATGATGCCAGGGTCATGTTTGCCTTCCCTTTCACACACAGAGAATGTCACCAACAGCACCGTGGGGGGCACAGCAGAACTGGAACACAAGGAGGTGAGCTGGATGAATGGCTGGCTCAGCTGCAAAGCCCAGGATGAGATGCTGAACCTGGCCTTCACTGTGGGCTCCTTTCTGCTCAGCGCTATCACCCTGCCCCTGGGCATCGTCATGGACAAGTATGGCCCGAGGAAGCTCCGGCTGCTGGGCAGGTCAGTGTGGGTTCCTGGGGGGCAGGGGAAGGCAGGCAGACCTGCTAGGGTGAATGCCCCACTGTGGTGATCCTGGCACCTGCTCTCAGGTACACTGTGGAGCTCCCTAAATGCCCGCCCAGAGTGGTATTCCTATCGCACCTGCTACTGAATCAGTAGGTACTGTGATCCTCACCAGGTACCAGTACTGCATAGGAAAGACGTAGGACTCCTGCCTACCCGGGAGGGTCTGGAGTTGTTTGTCATTAAGAATACTGGTTTCCAAAGTTCTTTTCTTTTTTTTATTCTAAAATGTATAATATAACATTTGCCAATTCAACATTTTTCACACATAAAATACAGTGACAACAGTCAATCACGTTGTGCAACCACCACCAATATCCGTTGCCAAGCAGTCTTTCTTGCTTTATACCTCTATCAGAAAAAAAGATTTCAAACATGTACCTTCTATGAAAATAAGTACATGAAGTTCTTAGTGCCATTCTTAATGCTTTATGTGCTTTATAATGCATATGCAAAATAGAAACAAAAAATAAATGAAATTTAAATAATGATAAAGTAGAAATCTTAATATTTGCCCTATCCCTGGCACTCTAGTCAAGTATCTTATACAACCTCTGGGGTGTATATCCCTAGTCTATAGAGCTGTAGTTCACCAGGCCCAGGGTCGCTTCACCAGGCAGTTTGCTGTCTCAGGTTAGGGTCTCTCAACCCAGTTTCTGTTGCCATTGATCATCCTTCAGGGAAGTGGTTTGCAATGAGCAAGACCTGTTTCTGTGAAGGGAAAAGGATGGGATCAGTTTCATTCTTCGTTGGAGCTGAAGAGGTCTTTGTTGCCAGGGCAGAGCCAAGTGGAAGGCGTCGGGGAGCCCCCATTCATCTCTGGTGCTCAGTCGGGATTGGTCATTCCCTGGCTGAGTGGGCAGAGGAACCCAAGGAAGGGGTGGTACCCTCTCCAGCCTGGGGGTGGGAGGGACAGTAAGGTGTTTATGAGATTAGGCTTTGGGGTTTGAATTCCATGCTAGCTACTTACTATCTAGGAGACCTTGCAGGAATTCATTAATCTTTTTGATTTTTCTCATCACTAAAATAGGCACCAATTACTCAGAACTGTTGTGCAGTTAAATGAGAAAATGTACATAAATGTTCTCAAACCTCCAACTTATAGTAAATTCTCCAGAATGAAAACAACAACAGTAATAATAAAGTACTATTTCTGCTTGTGAACTTTCAGTGCCTGCTTTGCGGTCTCCTGCTTGCTGATTGCATATGGAGCAAGTAACCCAAATTGTAAGTATGCTTTTCCTCCACCCTCTTGTTAGTGCCTGAGGAGAGATTGCTCAGTGGTGCTTCCAGGTCCACTTGCTCTCAGAAGCTGTGCCACGCCTGGTGCCCACTGCTCAAGTTAGAAGAGAACCTGTTAGAACTCTACCCAGTTACTTATCTCAAATGGGTGGCTGAATAAGAGAAAAGTTGCCACCACTAGAAGTCCAAGAGAAGCTCCCAGGGTGTGTGAAACTCCCCTCTACTCACCAAGCCAAGCCTGTCCCTGATGGCCCCATTGATGGCAACTTGAGGGATGAGTTCTCAGAACCAGGCTGGCTACAGGGGTGTCCTTGGTGTGTACAGGAGCCACGAGCCAAGTCCTCTTGCAGCAGCCCAGACCAGTAATATAAAGATGGCTTAGAAGCCACCTGATTTCTTTCCCTGGTCCTCAGCCTGCTCAGATGGAGTAGTAGTCTCAAGAATTTTAGATCAAACACCAAAATAAGACTGAGTGTCACCAGAATCTTGGCCAAGCTCATCTCCTGATTTTCGGATACCTATATGTTTGGTTTGAGTCAGACAGCTTCTTTAGGTCTTTTGCTTGCTGCTGAAGTTTGTAGACAAAGGGGATCAGGGATGCACCTTTGCAAGAGCCTGAGCTAGTGAAACAGGCAGAAAGAGGAGGAGGAGGAAGAATCTAATGCACCTTCTCAGGTGTCAGACACTAACCCCCAGTGGCTTACTCTGCGTTCAGTTGACTTTTATTGGGTGCCTGTTCCATATAGGGCCCTGGCAGGCCTTGGCCTCCCTGAAGCTTGTCTGTGGTCCCCCTCCCCTTACAAGCTTTCTGTTTCCCTACAGCTTTGTCCGTGCTCATCTTCATCTCCCTGGCTCTGAATGGCTTTGGTGGGATGTGTATGACTTTCACCTCATTAACAGTAAGTGTCAATTTTCTTAAGGAATTCTCTAGTTCAGTAATCTACTTGTGAATTCAAGGCAGCTTTTATTGGCTTCAGTTTCCTCGCCTTCTGCTTCCATATGCCTGGGCATCCCAAGCTGTAGAGGGGCTGTTGGCAAAGGAGACTGGCAGCAAAGCTAGCTACAGCCCCCCAAACAGGGGAGACTGGCAGGCAGACCTTAAGGCAGCAGAACACAGCTTTCGGGTGGCTCCATCCTTTGCCCAGCTCTAAGCTCAGCCACCAAGGAAGCCGGTTCACTAGTCATTGCCCAAGGAGGACAGGAGCAGGGGGGGAAAAAGCAGCCATCCACTTTGTTTTCTCTTATTTTCCATAGCAGCCATCACCAGGGTTGCCAGGAACTCTGACTAACAGTGTAACCGAAAAACAGGTTTTTGGAATTCTTTGGCATTGGATCAGCCCTTAACCTTTGCCTTTGTCCAGAATGAATGGGGAATCTTGGGGAGGACGTGTACCGCCTCTCTTCTTGGTTTCTAAATACCAGAGCACAGAGAGCCCTCCTGGGAAGGGAGATGTTTATTCGGGATGCTCCCTTACCGGGAGCAC